GGCTATTTATAAGTTCGCTTTTAATATAAAATTAATATATGTTGATATTTGCTTGTATGTGATATGTGTTGTCCGGCTGCCCCGATTTCCCGCAAGATGACATGCGATGTCGGTGTTAGTAATGGTTAAATTTGTTTGTGCTCGTAGTTACTTGTGATACATCACGTTATTCGGTCATGTGTCCCGGCGACCCGGTACGTATATTTATACTTGAGGATTTACTAATTGCTAAAATTATTACTCTGTAGACTGTAGTTTTTCGCCGCCGATGCGGGTTACGGCCGCTATTCGCAGCTATTTTGATGCCCGATTTCGATTTCAATGAACCCTGTTCTGGTCCATATATCATCCAAATTTAATAAAGGTTATATTGGACCAGATTATTCCGGTCTTAGGCGGTAGGCTAGCGTTAGTCGTACTCCCAGGACTTTGAGGTTTCTAAATAGGGCTTAACTATAAGTATAGGCGTTGCTCCTGCCCCGCGGTCTGTCCCAACCGATTTTTCTCTCTTAACTATCGGTATGTGCCGCGCTTCTATCGGGAATAATACTACCCGTGTCCGAATTTTTTTTTCTCTTTAAACTCCGGTAGTAGGTGCAGCGCATCTGATCTGGCGAATAATAATACGTGCTTATAAATATTTTGTACTGTTCGGCTGGGACGCTTGATTATCACAGTGGCACTAAAATTCAAAAATCTGTTAAATGTTTTTTGCTATCAGACCAATTTATGTACGTAAGACATGTTGTTTTTCTTTGTTTAAATGCTTTATTTATCTTAATAATATTTATTATATATTATATAATATTACACCCAAAAGAACGCTGCTATACTATAATTACAGATGTATCAAATTATTTAATAACAAACATGCCTGTAATACTGATATATGTAAATTAGGCGATATTCATACCGATGTACGAATTATAGCAAGCTACTAGAGGACAATATAAACTTGCATTAGTAGTGACGGATACAAAAAGCGCGGTATAATATTAAGATTACGTGTATACAAATTTTTATATTAACAAGACACAGACAGTGCATTATACTGTTAGTTATGAAAAAATAGCATATCATAACCGATTACCAAATATGAAAGTACTAGAAATAATAAATCTTGCATTGTAGCTGTGATACCAAAAAACAGCGCTTATCAATATTAATTACCGATGTTCACAATTTTCAAACAAACTGATTACTCTGTAGTATGAAAAAGATAGCCATTTATCATTAACCCGATTACAGATTATAGCAAGTATAGGATATATAAAGTTGCGTTCCAGGTAGCATGAGTACCAAAAACAGTCGCCATATTCCACTTTATTACCAGAATGTATCTACAAATATATTCAAAAACAAACAAGTTGATAATACTGTAGTATGATAAAATAGCTTTATTTAACGATATTACATAATTATGAAGTACTAATCCGGAAATATAAATTGCTATTGTAGACTGATACATAAAACAGCGTATATATTATTACCAGATGTTTATTCACATATATTCACGAAACGAACATGCATTAATACTGTAGTATGAAAATAGCTATCTAACGATTGGTTTAACCCCCAAATATAGCAGGCTTTAAGAGAAAATAATAAAATTGCATTAGTAGGCATGTACCAAAATAGGCTTCATATTGTAATTAGCAGATGTATATAAATATATTCACAACAAACATGCACATTAATATGTAGTATGAAAAATGCTTATAACGAATTAACCAAACGCGTTATAGCAAGTAACTAAGGGAATCATAAAATCTTGCTTGGTTAGATGCGATACAAAAAACGCGCTTCACATATCAATTCAAGAGTATAACGATATATTCACTAAAGAAACAATGTTAATTACTGTAGTATGAAAAGAAATAGACATTCTAACGTTACAAAGTATAGAAGTTTACTAAGGAATAATAAAATTGCATTGGTGGACAATGACATTACCAAAAAAACAGCGCTTTAACATTATTATTCACAGATTGTATTCACATTATTTCACAACAACAATGCAATTATATTGTAGTATGAAAATAATATTATCATAACGATTACAACATATATAGGCAAGTATAAGGAAATATAAACTTGCATTGGTAGATGAGATACCCAAAAAATCGCTAACTCAATATTAATTACCCAGAGTGAATTATAAATAATTCAAGACAAAACCATGCCATTATATGTTAGTCATTGAAAAAAAATAGGTCATTTATACCACCCACGATTACAAATTTAGCAAGTACTAAGGAATATAAACTTGGATTGGGTAGCATGTACTAAAAAACCAAGCGCTTACAATTATACAGATGGTATCACATATATTCACACAAAACTGAATTATCTGATGTATGAAAAAAAATAGCCATATCATACGGTTACATATGCAGCTACTAGGGAACTAATAAATTGCTATTGTGCATGACGATATCAACAACTGCGCTATATTATTACTACCGATGTATCTAAATATAGCTATGACGACAACAGTACTTGAATTTAGGTTTTTTTTGCAAACCCCACATTTGTAAGTGTACTTAAGCCATGTCAACAATACTGACTGTGTATCTAGGTTGTTGATCTGGCTGATACCAAGTTCAAATTCTGTGCTGGGTTGCTTTACTTGTACAGCTGAGCAATCTTTCCATGCATCTCCACTAAGGAAGGGACGGACCATATTGATGTCAACATTTTCATCAAGACAGGCATCAGACACTTTTTCCGGTCGACACTCCACTTTTCTCATGATGAGCTGTTTCCATCAATTGCAGTTTGATCACTTGATTTTTAACAAACAGGATAAGATAACTGTGAAATAAAAAAAGCATGCAACTGTTTAGAAATCATGCAATTACGTATCTCGAGCTTATGGAATACTCTATGAATAATTCAAAGCTAGAATGCGGATGAGAAAGGTTTTTTTTTTATTAATGTACTTTAGTTTTCTTGTTTGACATGATTTTCAACGTGTGGGTCGTTTGCAGCCTGCTTTCAATGATGCTCTTTTTTTCATAGGAAGACCGATGGTTGTTTGGTTGACTCCTTTTCGGGCGGCCCCCTCTTTTTAAAAATAGTCGGGCACTTTGATTTCCTGCGTAACGAAACTGCTGAAATATGATTGATCTGAAATTCCACCATTATTTTGTGTCAATGAATGTTCATGTAGCTCATCATTTTAAATTTAATACCGATAGTAACATAATAATTAGTTCTATATTTCTATATTAATAATACTATTTATATAATTTTAAATGTTTGGTACGTGTACACCTATCTGACGAATACAATGCTGAAGTTAGTCTGATATCTAAACAAGCGATCTCATAGCAGAAAAGTGGGCGCTGATGCAAGGCATTGATGCAGCAGCGACTTTATGTCTTGTTCTCGGTTAGAAAACATGGTTCTTTTATGGAAGGAGTGCGCATCGTGGCTCATCCGCTGTGGAATATTGCCCAGTGATCATAAAGTGACATGGCCCAACGCGCAAGTGTTCGATTTAGCTCAGATTCTCCGAGATGGTGTTCTTCTGTGTCAGCTGTCGAACACGTTGGTGCCAAATTCCATCGACCTGAAGTTGATAAATCAACGGCCACAGCTTTCACAGGTAGGAAAGCTTTTACAGGCGCTCTTTGTCGGCATTATACGGTTAATGTTACACTGTTTGATTCCCCAACCGCCGTTTGATATTTTTATTTTATTTTATCATACGCGGTTGGCTACGACACTGAAACACGTTGTGCTGACATGATTTTTTGCTGGTTATGAGTCATACAACATACACTTGTGCGCATTTATTTACATTATGTCATCTTGTTTTTTATTTGATAAATGTCCAAAATAATTGACGTAAAAATATAAGCGATTAATTTGTACGACGATATATGTTGTATAGTGTGCGCGGGTGCGCGCACATTCGCGCGTGTTCGCGCATGTGTAGGCCTACTAACAACTGATTTTAATTGTTACCATAATTATTATTAATTGTGATATTAATTTTAAAATATAACTCGCGCATAGTTGTGAGTTCAGGCAAGAGACCTACCCTTACTAAATTAAGTTGAACGCTATCGATTGCAGGTCTTCATATAATAGCTGCACAGCGCACGCACATAGCGCAGCGCACGCAGCATAGCTATATAGCGCACGCAGCAATAGGAGGTATATATATTTTACACAACAAATTGAAGATTCTCTGCCTTCTGTAAATTATTTAGCATGCTGTCAAGCACGTACCGTATGCAATTACATTGGGCCTTTATTGCTATCCACGCCGCCAAGCACATAATGGAAAGGATAGCGATAAAACGTTATGCTAGCTTGAGAAAGTTAAAACAATGTGTAACAATGTTTCCTATCACATAGATACAAACAACACAATTACCGTTAAACCAGTCCGGGTGGCCACATGAGAAACGTGTTTGTCACAACAATTACAGCTTCACCTGTGTTTCCACATTTGTACGGAGTTCTATATGGCAACTATAATTGCGTCGAGTTTCGCAATGAAATTCGTGTGTGGTAGCGGTGAGAATTAACGCGTACAATTTTACTACCGGACAGTGGAATCAATTGCTCCCCCTTCCTCTACATGTCTTTCTATCTCTTAATTGTTCTCTCTCCCCCTCCCCTCCCCTCCCCTCCCACCGGTCACCACAGCAAGATCAGTTCAAAACGTTTAGCCTTCTTCAAGCCAATGTGACCACACTATTCACCTCTTATTTGATTAATATAATGAAATAGAAGCAATAAATAAATAATAAATCATCCATGCTCTGCCGATTATCGTTTCCTAGGTTCGATGAAATAACCACTACGTCAAATTAAAAGAACACCCAATTTTGGCTGGTTAAACCTACTACCCAACACGCGATCGTGACATCTTGACATCACGAGATCAAAATCATTTCAAATCGTGGAAGCCGGCGGGTATGATACAGGAAGCTTTGATTTTCTTCAGCAGGAGCAAATTATCACTTGTATGTTATTATTTAACTCACGTCCTCACACAGTACTACCTCGCTGACTACTGACGAGTTTAGTAAGCAGTCGGGGCAGGTTTTAAGAGGTTGGAGTCCGGTGGACCGCCGTAGCATAGTATTAATACCCCCAGGACAAGCGTTCCCTGTGACATGTCTAACACGGACATATGCATGCCTAGCATGTCGCCTGGACATGAGGATTTGACCTTTATTGCCAATGCGTATTGTAGAGAGACACGTTTGCGAGAGGGGGGATATACACCATGCTTAACGTCAGTACGCGGTCTCGCTCTCTCGCTCTCTCTCTCTCTCTTTCTCCCTCGGCTGCACCACCAGAGCATTAAACCGGTACATTATACAATAGATGCTATCGTGGCACGTTACGCCCAAAGGTGTACATAGAGAGCATGTACATATAAGTTGGTAACAGCAACGTTTCGACAGCACCGCTCGCTACAAAGTTGTTTCGTTACGGCGTCTTCATTGTAGCAAAACATGCGTGCGCGCGAAGACGTTAAACGACCTGATAGCTGCCCCCTGTGACTCGACACGTAATCGGTACAGATGCATATTTAAGCAGCCTGTACGCACTCCCTCGTCCGACACGAATGCCGGTCTGCACCGCCGCGCAGACGACCGGCGTGTAATACACACCACGACCTCGCACGCACGAAATAATAGTGCTAAAGTTTTCGAAAAATCCCCCTGAGGACGCTTTTCGCCATAATTGCGGTTGTTTACGGCATGTTTACTCTTACTGGGGGACGACACCTTCGTATACTGGCGAGGATGACCCGTAGCTTCTGGAACGGTTCGCAGCTGCTTCAGCCAAATTTCATCACAACGCCGCAGCTGTGATATCTCAGGGCTGCCACTGATATTGAGTTTGCAGTTTGTTTTAATGCTGACTTCGAGTTTTACTGCCGCGTTAAATATGAAGGCTGCCGAGAGATTCGTCGAAGTTTTGTCTGCTGTCGAACAGCGGAACGGAAGTCTTAAACGAACACTGCCGATCGATAAAAAGGTGGCAAGTGGTGCACCCACTCACCCAGCCTGAGATTCTCACACCGAGGATTACAACTGTATCTGCCAATGTAGAGAACTAGTAGTAAGCGACAGTTACATAACAATCAAGATTCGGGGATAGATAGTGTTGACAGAGAAGGACAGAGCAATTGGAGGTATTAGGCTTGATTGGCAGGTATCTCTAGCCAATCTGCATGGCGGTAAGGATGTTCTATAAATGCTGCATTGTAACAAAGTGCCTCAAAGTCGACAATGTGGCGTACACTCAGAAAACCCGCGTAAAAACTTGGCTATCTTGACAAACCTAGCAAATATCACCAAAGGAGAGTGGTTATCTTGCTGAGACGATTAGGACAATGACATGTACATGGTAAACATCATTAGAACTGAACCAACTATGGGACACATTTAACTGTAGCCAAAGCCTCAGGACAAACAAAACTAGCAGCTTGAGATCAGTAATTCAGTCATAACTTTATCGACATGACATCTTGACATCATGTGACGTGAGAGGTGCACTCTTCGAATGAGCATCAGGAGAGTAAATTGTGATTGAAGATTCGATTCATGCTAGGGCTCACAGATAAACAGCCCTCTGGAAGAGCATAATGAAATATACGTTCATGAGTACGCGAACCATTCGCTTGCCAATTTCACCCGATTCGTACTAAATCACAGAATATCTGACTATTACCGCATCAGGTTGCGGCAGTCAAAAATATGCAACGAATTACTTAAGTTCATAATATTGGCTCGATGCCAATTGTGAACTCTTCTTGCACTGCTTGTGCAAACCTACAGCATCGTTCAAGCAAGCACCTGTACACATATTATTGATTTGAACTCCAGTTCAACAAATTCTCCACTGCTTATTTACAATGACTGGCAGCATTAAATACCTTTCGAGTCAACCATTATACGAAAAGTGACTGTATGCGCTGAAATATTGCCAGCGCCACTGCATTTTTCCAGCTGACAGACGTCAGCCAAAGTGTGATGCAGGAACCGGCGAATCGATGCATTCGCTTTTTCACAACCAATTTTACACCTAACGACATTCAGCCAAATACGATTCGGGAAGTGGGAATAGGTAAAGTTACACTCGCTCTTACACTGACTCAAACACGCACATGCCAGTGGCGGATCCAGAAGTTAATTCTAGGGGGGGGCGAATCGTGCTGGGGGGGGGTGAGTGAATCATGCGAGCTCAAGGGCACGAAGCGCCCGATGGGGAGGGTGTTAGGCTAAAATACCCTTGCCCTGAAAATTCTAGGGGGGGGGCGACCGCCCCCTGTGCCCCCCCTGGATCCGCCACTACATGCACGCACATGCACGCGCGCACACACACACACTCACAAGCACATGCCACACTAACACCCCCCAACACACACTCACACACACACGTACACTCACACATGCACACACTCGCAGACACAGACGACACACACATGCGCGCGCACACAGTTGGACATTCACACACACCGACCTGCCGGCGCGACGAGCGTACGAGAAACCCGCCGCCCGAAAGCACTACAACTTCAACTGCAGGGGAGACGACGGCGACCTCCGGTCTAAGGGCGATGCGCCTCGCGATGGCGGTCGCTGCTCCTTGTCCTCAGCCTCCGCGACGTTGATGCTACTCACACCTCGCTGTATGATCACCTTCTGGTTTCCGAAGCGACAGTACGTCTCATGCATCGCTGCCGGCTTCTGTGTCCGTGCAAACGTAAAAAAATGCCATGTTAGGCGATCGGTCGCATTCTGTTTTCGTGCAAGTTCGCTTGCACCGTGATAAATGTTGACGTATAATGCAGCAAATTGCAGTCCGTTTACTCTGAACTATTTTGATTAATCTATCAAAGCACTACAGATAGAGACCAAGCTGAAGATAATTAGATAGAAGACACGATGTCTGCGACTTTAGTTCTGTAACAGTAATTGATCCGCCACATTTGAACTATAAAACCACATTTATTAAGTGATGGGGTTGACAGGGATTCACGAATCCAGGTGGCACACCTGTGAGTAGGAGGGTCCGAGTGGCCGCAGTTTGTTCTGCTGCTCCATGTAAATGGCATGACATGCATCCTCATAACGCTGGTGGATGGCGGTGAGCGAGTCCTTCGGTATGCGAGAACGACTCATGGAGGTTCGTTGACATGTGCCGCGCTATATCTCGCCGTGGCCCACCTGCGACAAGGAGATCGAAAACTCGGGAGTGAATCATTCCCGAGCTATTTGGATTTCCGCACCACACCGGTATCTCATTCGTGCAAATCGTCCTACTAGCAGGACTAGATCTGCACATGGAATACAGAAATGAAATTTTAAAAAAAACCATACATGACAACTCAGGACAACAATAATGGAGACTTTGTAAGTTTTAATTACATATGTTTAATGGCATTGCTGAGTGCCAGGCTTTTATTCCTTGAGAAAATTTATGGTTATGACTGGGGTTTCTACCTGCAGTCTTTAAAATGAAAGGTGTATATATATATGCACTAACCACTGCGAGCTCTTTTCATAGCGGTATTCAATCAAGTAATGTATAGACATGACGTGAGATGAGATTATGGTTAGAGTTATGAAGTTATGGTTAGCACTTTCTCATGTTACGTGATATCAAGAGCTAATAAATACCCAGAGTCAGGGTGCGAAATTAGCGGGAGTCCGGAGTCAAATACTCCCTGATTTACTGTCGGACTCCCTGATTTCACATATGCAGGAGTCCGTGTGACTCCCTGACAATTCTGCCATACTAGTCTAACTAGTTCGTTCCAGAGCACGGCCTCGCGGAATTAGTGTATCTTTTCAGCTAAAGTTCAAAGAAAATTTGGCAGATGTGCAACTGCATGAATCTTAAAAATAAGCACATTGTGCGCGTTATTGTTAATATCTTTAATTTTGAACCTCAGACTGCAGACTCCCTCATTTTGCTGTGGACTCCCTCATTTTGAGGGTAGGGAGTCCGTTGGATTCCCTTGTTCAAAAGTTAATTTCTACCCCTGCAAAGTGTACAACGGGAAAACAGTGCTATTTCACGGCCATATTATTCTACGTTGTGTGCGGTTCTAGACTAAGTTCATGGTATTGCGTTAAGCAGCATTCTTTGCTCTCTAAAATAAGACCAACCGCTTGTCTCTACGATACTCCTAGGCCGAGATATTGAAGCGTAATCATGCCTCCTGCAGGCCTCACGCCACCTCGCATCTACATTTTTCCTGAACCTTCTCGCCTTTTGCGGGTTCTGGCTATCGTTTTCTGTCGCTGCCTGGAGCGCTGATAATTGATGTAACATGCCCAAATTTGGTACACTTACTACACCATATAGTAACTGAGCTGCGCTGTAGAGACTTAATTTAGAAAACATTGCCGGCTCCATCATTACGGGCATTAGCCGTGCTAGGAAAGACAATGGGAGATAAGGGCCTAGGTGATGCCCCTGAAAGTCACCGATGATAACCGAAACGCCGTTCATTCATAAAGTCATCGCGGAAAAAACTGAACTCTCACGAAGCGACTTTCCTAACCCGCAAAAGGCGAGAAGGTTTGGGAATAATGTAAATGCGAGGCGGCGTAAGGCCTGCAGGAGGCATGATTACGCTCCAATATCTCGGCCTAGGAGTATCGTAGAGACAAGCGGTTGGTCTTATTTTAGAGATTCTTTAGTAACAGTAAAGCAAGTCAGTGCAACCTGAATCTTGTTTGGACAATGCTGCTGCAGGGGCTTGTTTATTTAATGCTGCTGCAGGGTCACAAATTTGTCACCATTTTTGGCCTCAATTTTTCCTCCTGTGAACTCAGATTACCTCGGAGGTCAAATCCAATGTGCCCATGACATTCAGCGTCAAAAGCTACCCCTACTGAGCATCCTTGGGCATTTCTAGAGTGCTCCATATTGATTTGCATTGAGAACAGACATACATTCACAAATATTAGATATTATGTTATATGTTATATATTATATCCGGTAATATTATGCGGATTAAAGATATGCATAATATATCCGACACACGCCGCTTATTTGTGCTGATATAAGCGAAAACATTTTGTTTTAAAATTTAATTAGCCGCTAAGAAGAAAGAACACGAGAGTCAAGCGGAAGATGTTAATTTAACCTTGCATTTTCATTTTATGTATCCAAACATTAAGATATGAGAGCTGTTATTAAGATAATTTTGGTCGCCGTGTAACTAGGGCCACTACGGCATCATTACTAGCTGCCGTCATCTACGGTTAATGCTGTGTCCAATGGTCACCCAAGGGACTCCCCACTCCCCACCCTCCCAGAGTGTCGTTAAGAACAGGTGTCTGTTCTATTTTAAAATGTGCTTTAATTCCCCGTATAACTCGCAGCCAAGGGAAACACTAATAATGTCCTTTATAGACAGGTGTCTGTTGTGTAGATGTGTTTGTTAACACAAGTTAATTTGATTGGATATATTTAATGCACTATGTAATGTCATTTGCTTTCAAGCGGTATCGATGGCATATATAAACTCTGCCGTTGCTTGGCAGGGAAATTACATATACAGCGTTTAGAGTGAAAGTTATGTCTGATTGGCACATATACGTGCCTGTGCATACGTGCCATAAATGTTAGCACTACGCTAAATATCGCACGACAGGTAGCGATAGTAGAATACATCCAGAGGGACATGATACAAGATTGCGTGGCACAGCTTTGCTGTTGATTCCATATAACTGCGAAAGGCTGATGATGAAATTCTTGTTGATACTCAGTTTAATTAATTTCGGCATCTATGCGGTGGTGGCACCAAGGGGGGGGGCATGGGGTTTCTTTATTAGTTCTCGCTCTACGCGCTCACAACATTTTGCCCCCCAACATTTTTACTTTTCCTCAGCTTCTCCCCCTCCCCCCCCACTTTTACAATCCTGGTGCCGCCCCTGCATCTATGGGCAAGAAATTCGCCGCATCAGTGATGATTTGCATTTAATTTAGAAGTTTTTTCCACAATGGTGCATAGCATTAATGCACACCTAAGTACTAATCCTTCCATTAAACCATAATCATATGTAATCCAATTTAATCTTATTAGTATCTTATTCGTAAATGGGGTTTCTGCTATAAGAAGTGGTTTACGCATACTCTCGCGGTAACCTGTCTTCCCAGCCTAAAAAATCGACCTATTGATTTAACTGACTTCTAGATGGACAGTAAATGAGTTCTCATTTAAAATATGTTGCTTTTCTTATTTAGACACTATCGTTGGTTAGCGGTGAGCAAGCAATAGCAGCACGAAACGAAACGCTGTTCAATGCGCAACAAAGGATGTGTTGTCCATATAAGCAAATGGCAACATGAGGTTGTTTTAATATCGCACTATAGACAATCTACGCGTTCCATACGGTTGTATTCCCATTTGATGAGTGTGCCCTGCGGTTGTTATTGGAGAATTTCCGTAACAACTATAGGGGGCGAATTTCATATTTAAGATGGTCGTAGATTTAATTTACGGGTTAACCAATGCACTGCAGTGCTATCATATTTCGTCGTCTGCAGGGAATCTCAACGCGCAAATCAGTACAGTTGCGAATGTTGTAGAAATCTGACGACTGCGCGCGTGGCTGCCCTCAAGAAAATCAATATCGTAGGAATTATTTATCGACCAAGGACCGATGTAGGATCGCTGAACAGCAAAGATTGACTTAAATTTAAATTATGGACGTAGTTTTGTTACGTTTTCAGTAACGCTAGCATTTAAACCGTAATTTCAGAAACCAGATCGATAGAGCCATTTTTTTCGCAAAACGCGTATATATATATAACGCTCCTTCTGTATACTAAGTAAATTGTATGACCATTTTAATGACGAAATATGTCGATAATATACTTTTAGGGACTGGGCGGCAATAATGCATGGTCGGGCATGTTGGGCAAATATATGAAGCGCGTATGAAGGAGTAAGCCACGTATGATGCCGCGGTGCGTTATAGGAACACAGGTAATGTTCCCATAGCCACCGAGAGCATATAAGCAGTCCATAACTGCGCAAAGGCTGATAATAAAATTCTTTTTGATACTCAGTTTAATTAATTTCGGCATCTAGGCGGTGGTGGCACCAAGGGGGGGGGGCATGGGGTTTCTTTATTAGTTCTCGCTCTACGCGCTCACAACATTTTGCCCCCCCAACATTTTTACTTTTCCTCAGCTTCTCCCT